TGCATAAGTCAGAGGCAATGTCTTAAGGGCAGGTCATTTATTTGAGAGAGATCTTGAAATACAGTAGCAAGAAAGTGGGGATAACATGCTAAGAAACAAGGAAAAACTAATTAAAGGGGTGCATTTTTAAGCCACTTGCCATTGCGGCAGCTGGGGCTGAGTCCTGCAGGAGAGCCCCTTGGGAACCCTATAGAGCTCACCGGAACTGCCCCTCTAAGACAGGAAGCTGACACTAACCCACTAACACTTGTCACCTTTGGTGGAAGAGGACTTCCAGGAGCAGTAACTCCTCCTCCCACTCTTCCAGGCTGCCTTGCCAGGACTAAACAAATTACCTGGCTTCAGAAAAATTCCAGACACAGAAAACCAGTGACAGTGGAGAGAGTTGAGCTTGAGGTGACATTTGACAGTATCTAAGACACCCATAGGAACTGTCTACCATAGCTTCAGCTAAAAACTGAAAGAGACCAGGGTGGTCTAAGGTGACTTTAATCCCATGGAAGGAAAGTCCTTATGAGTCCTTTATGTTAACTCTGTTAACTGAACAAGTAACTTGGGATAGTAGGAGTTTTTTTACTTTCCAAGTTACTTTGTATCCTCTGAGCTATTGATTTGTCCTCAGTAAGGGATGAGAATATCCACCTTGTCTGCCTACTGTACATTTCACAGGGGTCCTGACTATGTAAGGTGCTTAGCACAAAGTGCCGCCTACAGTAAAGTATACAGAATAAGTCCTATTATATAATTTCTAGTATCTAGTGAAATATACATTAATAATGGTAATAGTTACCTATATTATGGATAAGAAGGGATTCATTCAGACTCTGTAAAAGGATTTCACTAGTTACCTGAACATATTTTGTCTGTCAAGGTATTGCAATTTTTTGGAAGGTCATTAAATTTTGGTAGTTTTTAAATTAGTTTCATGAAAGATGTGTAATCCAAAAATCTTAAATGTAAACTAGTTCCCATGTATCCTCTCCTCTTTGGTTAAGACTGCATTTAAGTTTCCATGAGGTTAGAAGGATTTATTATATTTTTTTGGAACCCTCCAGAGATGTTCTGTTGGTTTTTTGTTCGAAACTTTCCTCCTTTTGAACTTATCTAAACACCAAGAGGAGATCTGAATGTGCTCTACTTTCTAACATCTTCTGATGTCAAATAAGTTTTCTTTAATTCTAGCTTAAATCTTTAATACTGCAATTTTGTTCTTATTCAATTTTCTTTTCAGTGGAAACAAAGGAACAGCTGGTTACTATTGTCACTTTCTTTTGTTTGGGATTTATTAAATATGCAACACTTGAATATATTTTTCCCTTGTCTGGATATAGAACCCCCACTGCTTTTTTACAAAGAATGATAGAATTTAAAATGGAGATGCCTTAGAGACAATCGAGTCCCAATATATAACCTGATTAATTATTACCAGTCAAAATTATATTGGCATTTGGCATCTCTTTTGTACTTTTTGGGGTAAATTGCCTGACATATCTTTTGCTCAATTATAGGTTGGAATATTATTCTTTTTTCTTATGAATGGTTAAAACTGTTGCATATAAATACTGTTAACTATTAAGCCACCATATATTTTTCTCAATTTATTATTTGCCTTTTAGTTTACAACATTTTGCCTTATGAGTTTGTTAACTATTTTGTCAAATACACTATTTTTCCTCTCCTGAATTTTTTCCACATGCAGCAATGAATTATCTACCATGAGCTCTAAACTATATTCATTTATATTTCTGCTTGTTCTTTAGTGTTTTTAGGTTGGCTCTTTAATCTATTCAGAGTTAAATGAAAGGCTATAGATTTTATTTCCTATTGGAGTTTTTTTATAATATTTTCTTTCAGTCTCTTGTAATATATCATACCATAAATCTGTTACATATATATATTCATGATATACATATCAGTCATTCTGAACTGGAGGTTAAGTTTATCCTCTAGGGAATATTTAACAATGTCTATAGATATTTTTGTCTACCAGGACCAAGGGCACCGGGGTACAAGAGAGGAGGCTACTGGCGTCTAGTGAGTGGAGGCCAGGGATGATGCTAAACACCCTACAATGTGTATGGCAGCCCCCGCAACAGCAGTTGTCAATAACTCCAAGATTACAAGACTTGATGGGTGGGTGGATGGTGGATGGATGGGTGGATGGATGGGTAGATACTCACTAGGTACCCTTCTTCTGCCAGTTGCACACTTCACCAATAGTAAAATTCCCCAGCCAATATTTCTATTTCTTACACTAAAAGGCATTTTGAGAGAATTTGCCTTTTTCTTAGAAAAAAATCCAAGTACACCATATTTTCAGGTATCCCTCATCAGTTTTAAAAGCCACTGACTTCCTAGTTTTAGAGCATAGGCTCTGCATCACACTGCTTGAGCTGAATCAGGAACCTCTGTCTTCAGCTTTCTCATGTGAAAAGGAAGGCAGTGATCCTCTCTTTATCCTAGGTTGTCATAGACGTTAGGGTGCTCAGAGCAGTGCCTGGCACAGGGTAACCCTCACAGAAGTGTTTGATAAAGATAATAACTTGTTTTCCATGAACCTTATTTGCTCTCAATGATTCCTTCTCACTTGTAATGTTAAAAATTACAATTCTGAAATTCATTGCAGAATTTTGCTAAGGATCGATTTGAAGCAGAGGTGAGGCAGAGGCTAAAGAAAATACACAATGCTCCACTCTTGTCCTCTTGACATACAGCATGAGCCTGTCAAACTACTAACTCCGTGCACTGTGTTTCTTATCCAGCTTTGCTGTAAACAAAACAACTCTCAAGCTTGCATATTTCCTTGTAGGCACATATGCTTATTTTTTTCATCTATGTGAACGATTATTTTAATTTTATTTTATTTTTGCCACTAGGGATTGAACCTATGGCTTCACAAGTGCTTAGCACATTTTCTACCACTGAGCTACACCCCTAGCCTGGAATCTTTTTTCCCCTGTGTTCCTGAGGATTGAACATAGGACCTTCACACTACACTACTTCCTCGGCCCTTTTTTATTTTTTATTTTGAAGCAGGGTCTTGTTGATTTACTCAGGCTGGGGTCGAACTTGTGTTATACCTGCCTCACCCTTCCAGAGTGCTGGGATGAGAGGTATGCACTATCACACCCAAGAGCTATTATTTTACATAAAGATTGTCTTCATTTTAGCTACATTCTGAGAGTTACTAATGATTACTATGGCTCTGTCTCTTGTGTTAAAACTTTTACTTCTTTTTATTGTGTTAAAAATTTTTAGGCCAACATCTAAACACTCTCCTGATTCTTTAACTTGTTAGGTATTTCTTCTGTATGTCTTACATGGTACCCTTTACATCACCACTGTTGGACGCATTTTTCTTTGAGGATAGAATATTCTAATCTGCATCATTCAGCATAGTGAGCACTGCGGACGGCTTGAAATGTGGCTAAGCCAATTGAGAAACTGAAGTTTTTAAATGATGTCTTAATGTCACTTAATCTAAACAGGCACATGTGGCTAGTGCTGATGTATTAGACACCACAGCTCTGAAATACCTCCTCATCCTCCATTTTCAGTTGAAATCCTAAGTTTCATTCTACCTTGAACCTATGTCACCAAGTATGATGTATGAATCTTTGTGGTGTGTGTGTGTGTGTGTGTGTGTGTGTGTGTATAGTCCAGTGATCAAGTTATTTTTACTTTGTTTCCCATGTTTTCACTATAGTAATAATGCATATTCTTAGATGATTCAGATTATGCACATGTATTCCTGTTTTTAGATTATTTCTGTATTTAATGTACTATACTTAAAATTGGATATTTGCTATTCTTTAATGTTTTTGCAAGTAGAAAACAGCAATGATGATTATAAAAAGAAGTGGAAGAATAAACAGTATAAAGAAGAAAATGAAAATCACCCTAATGGCATAAAGCAAAGATTATTCCTGTTGCTGTGTACACACACACACACACACACACACACACACACACACACAGGGGCAGACTTGGTTGAATTTATTTTATATATGATATATTGTTTTATTTTTAAATTTTTTACCAGTTGTACAAATAATACATGTTTATTGCTAGAACAAAAATTGAAAAAAAAACTGAAGAATAAAGTGAAACCAAAAAATCATCCATAATCATAAGACTATGTAGACTAAGCACTTTTAGTATTTTTGTTTGTTTTCTCCTCTTATTTCTTTTAATATCCACAGGAAACAGGTGTGCAGGTAAATAAGTAGATAAATAGGCAGACAGGCATATTTCAAGAAATCAAATTGTACCACAGATATGCAGGATGTGCCAACAAATGCACAAGTACCTTTTGGATGAAAATCAAACAAGAATACACATCAGTGTGGGTGTGTCATGCACAGTGGTATTAGTGAAGATTTGTCATTTTTACATACTAAAACTAGGTATTGGTTAACATTTTCTCACTGAATTTGTCAATTCATTAATTTTATTTGACTTTTTATATCAGAATTTTCCTATAGTATAAAACAAAATTTATAAACATTATTTTAATGGCTGCATCATAGGCCATTCATTATATCTATATACCATATCTTATCACTGGGCATTTAGGATGTTTCTCTTTTTACTGCTATAAGCATCATTGCACTGTACATATTAGTGCCTTAAGCTTTTCATCTCTGATTATTTCCTTAGGAGACAATCTTAGAAAGGATATCACTGGACCGAGTGAAATGAATAGATTTAAAATCCTTGATATATATTGCCGAATTGCCTCCAGAAAGTTCTTTGTTGCTTATAGGAGAAAATAATCTTTGTTCTATTTCTACCCCTTAATCATTTCATGCAGCTTTTCTTTGAACCTTTAAACTCTCTGGTTTTAGAACTCAGAATTGTTTTCTAATAAATGTTGCTTCCAAGAGATTAACAAAGTAATCACTTTGTTATAAATATCTGAACAATGTAACTCACCTGTTTTTTCTTAGTAAGAGTTTTCAGATACAGCATTTTTCATTGTATACATTGTTTCTTTTTAGGGTGAACAAGGAGCAAAAGGAGACCCAGGTCTGCCTGGCCTTAAGGGACAAGATGTAAGCCTAACTCTTTTTTCTAATATTCTGTTTACATTTTGCCACCGAAATATCTAATGCTATTAGGATTTGACTATCCTTGGCAGAACTAGCTATAATAAAACAAAATTAAGAATAAAGGCAGTTTTCTTTTACATGACCTCTTAGCCTACTGTTTTTAGTTTCAGTATATGTTTTTTCTTTGAGTTTAAATTTTATATTTGTGCTTACCCTTAACAACCTTTTTTACCTTGCTGGTTCTGGGTTTTGTTTTGTTTTGTTTTGTTTTGTTTTTAAGTGTTCCTTTCTCTGTCTTCTTTCTTATGTACATTCTGTGGTGTCCTGGTTTCTCCTCCATCTCCCCCACACCCTATTCAAATGAGAGGTCTGTATTGGTTGGATTGACATAATGTAAGGGAAGGGGAGAAGGAAAACTGTGTCCAGTGGCACCTGGGTACTGATCATTAATTGACTCTAGAAGGTGTGATGAGTGCCCCAAATCACAAGTGCCAAGTGGATTGTTTTGCTGATCAGGGTAGCAAGTCACGAGGCAGTTGACATGGACAAGTTCTAGTCTGCACATTGAGTATCAAACAGTGACAGTGTTTTCACATCAAAATGTGTCATGACCAGATATGATGGCTCCCAAAGCCGCCAAGTCCCCAGTGTGACTGTATCTCAATTACTGGCCCCTCCCGCACCTGAGAAATACCTCCATCTGTGGCCTCCTTGAGTCCCCAGCAACTAGTTCCCTGTCCCTCAGGACACTTATCTCTCCTCTGAGCCAGAAAACCATTCTAGGTCTTAGGCTGAAGCTGCTAAGATTGCCAAATCTGAGTTTTTCCCCGAAATGAAACCTTGTTTCATATGCCAGCTATATCAAAGAAGAAAGTGTCTGAAATGAGAATTATTTTTCCCTCAATTTATTTTCCTCATATACATAAACCCATCTTTTCAAGGACCTGAAAGACCACACTAACCTGCTTTAGATGTAAAAGGGTAAGAAAACAGTACATGCAGCTGTATTTAGTCCCCTGATCCCAGAGATGCTGCAAAACCACCTTGTATGAAGATCATTTCAGAGGGAAGAGAGGCTGAGGACCAGTCTGTGAAGGAGGAAAGGAGGATCCTTGGGGGAGTTCACCCCAGAAGTGAACCTCAGTAGTTAACAGTACTAACCCTGAGCATGTGCGTGCACACACACACACACACACACACACACACACAGAGCTGTACTCCAGCTTACTTTCCAGGAAGCACCATAGCTGTCTTATTAGGCCCTTTGTCCATGCTCCTCCCCCTGCAAAGTGAGTTCCTTGGCGGGGAACAGGCTGTGGCCTCAGCAGCCTGTGCATGGAGAGGTCCACATCCTCTCTGCCACCAGAGCACACACAGTGCCTCACAGACTGCCCCTGCCCTATTCCTGGAGGCACCGGGCCAGGTGTAAGAGCTCTGGAGGCCCTGCTGTATTCTCGCTGTGTCACTAACTGAGCAAAGAGTTTGTAAAGGGATAGAATAATTTCTAAAGTCCCTGTCCCCATCTTTTGTACAAATAGACATGAAGATTACAAACTTGAAAAGCCTGATGGGATGTGAAGCACTCATTCAGGGTTCTTGAATCCCTGCCCCACGTGAGGCACTGTAGGGAAAGCAAAACCAGCAGAAAGCAAGAAGAGAGTGCAAGAAGTACTGGATTTGAGGACATTTATCCTTGTATGAACAGAAGGGAGATATGGTCCGGGCTGTGTTGAAACAAAGACTTATTCTGTGGTGTATTCTGAATGGATAGTTTGGCCTTTATCTGCTTTGCTGTTCTTTCTGTTGTCCTCTCCATGAAAGCAGAGACTATGTCTTAGAATCCCTAGTACTTAATAAATGTTTAGGATAGATTTTTAATGACTATTTGCTGAATTTTAGTTTGAAAAACTGAGCAGTTATTATAATAGCCTAAAGTACAAATAATTAGAGCCTAAACTAGGGTAACACCAGAAAGGAAGGTACAGAGAGTGATATTGTAGAGATAAGATATATATATATATATACATATATTATATGTATAGATAAATAGATAATTTGACATTTAAAAATATTTCAGTGAAGGGCACACAGGTAATGGGGAAAAACATAAGAACCAAGATACATCGTGTTCAGGTACAAGTGCCCAATGGTAAATGTAAACATATTGTATACCTAAAATGTACCAATAAAAGAATTTTTTAAAATTTAGCGCATCCAAAAAAAAAAGTTTAACATTTTGATCATTATGAAAAGGATATTAATCTGAGTGTTAGTCACTTTCTGGTCACTGAGACAAAATACCCAATATGAGCAATTTAAAGAAATAAAGGTTTATTTTTGGCTTACTGTTTCAAAGGATTCAGTCCATGGTCAGCTAGCTCCAAGGTAGAAACAGCATTGTGGAAGGGCTTGGCAGAGGAGAACTGCTCAGGCCAGGGAAGCCAGGAGGCAGAGAGTGGAGGTTCTGGGGACAGGAGTGCACCCTTCCAGGTCATATTCCTGTGACCCACCCCTTCCAACCAGGCCCCACCCCTGCACGGCACAGTCAGCTATGAACTCTTCAATGGACTAATCCATTGGTGAGTATAGCACCCCATGATCCAGTCACCTTCCAAATACATGAGATTTTGAGGAGACAGTTTTTTACCTAAATCATAACAATTTGTGAGAAATGGAACAGCATCAAAAGAAATGAATCACAATTTTGCCAAAGATAATCAAGCCCCATGCTTGTGGGCTTGGACATAGATGAGCAAAACAAGGATTTTTAGAAGTTCATAAAAATAATAGTAGTACTGAAATAGAGATTTTTCTAAGCATTTGACTAAAACTGGAATTTAGAGATTTGGAAGTTTTTCTTAGGTTGTCTGAAAGCAAGGTGATTGGCATTTTTGGAACTGATTGATACACACACAAGAAGACCTACTGCAGGTCCAGATGTTCTGGTAGCCACTGCCTGAGTTTCAACTCTCACGAGACCATACTGGGTGAGAGTGCACGCAGCCTGGTAGGCACTGTGAACCTTTCTCCTCAGGAAGAGTCCTACAAGAGTCCTTTGTACGTCCCATTACAGAGGTGCTATTTCTTTAGCACCATAATTGTTTATTATAGCTCATTAAGAACACCATAAAGCATGACAAAGAACATTAACTTTTCTCACTTGGTTACTTATATGTAGATAGTGTTATTTTCCTTTCCTTAATTTTGCCAAAGATACTCAGAAGTCATGACCAAGAAATAAGAAAAAGTAGTAAAGTTTCTCCACTCTCTCCTCTGCTACCACTACAAGTAAAAACTCAAATGCCCTTTGGTGGCAGTGTTGTGGTAATAGCTCCTAAATTGTTTGTACAAGAAAAGTGAAATTTTGTCCCCTTGAAGCCTTACAGAATAGATGGAGCAGGGGGCACCACTTTCCTCTTTTCAGAGGCAACAAACAGAGACTTGGAAAATGAAGCAACTTTATTTTGGAAAATAGTGAAATTAGCCTCTAACCCTAACTGTTTGACTGAGAAGTCTTACTTTGCCACTAAATCATGGCCCCATCACTGCCTGTTTTTCAAAGCTAAAAAAACTGACTTGGCAAATTGAAGTGACTCAGCATTTACAACAGTTCATTCAGGCAAGAAGCACAGGATTTAAGGAAATGAAGGTTATTACAGTGACTATTTCCATCTGAATCAAAGACTAGTCATCATGGGTATTACAGTTTCAGGAATATTGTACTAGAAGGCATGGTGATTAGGCTTGTGGGTCAGCTCTCCTAAGCCTCTTTCTAAATCACACTAAATGGGAATGATTTGATATTTGTACTAAATGAATTCAAACAGCATTCTTTTCTATAGTCTTTATTGTCGTATTCTACAAGGGGTGGTTGGAAAATATGGTGAATATGAAACCATTTTTGACTTAGTATAGTAAAAGATACATTGCCATGAATGATAGGATGAGTATGTTCAAACAGAGGGGGGATATTTTGAGTATTTTAAGAGGGATTAATGGTAATGTGTCTTTTACTATAATAAATTTAAATATCCGCCTTCATATTTTTATCACACCTCATATATAGATAACAGTGTATCTTATGATAATTTCTTCTATGCCATCTTTCCCCACAAAATGGGCTCATTCTGCTTGGAAAACTATATGAAAGGATACCCAAGTTCAGTCTTTCCTCACAGACCACTATTGGCATGGGGGACAAGAGAGTTCATTGCCTTGTGGGTCTGTCTTGTGAAAGCAGAATGTTTGGCCCTCTAGATGCTGATCAGCTAGTACTAGATGCCACTAATGGTCCCTAGTGATTGGAACAACAAAGGGCTCTGCTATCTTTCTGAGTGCATCCTGGACTCTGTATGTGAACATGTTAACTTTTGGTTAATGTCCATGTTATTAATGAACATATTTCCCTTACAGTTTAGACAATGTATTCCAAACATATATCGAAATTGTCAAAAATTAAATTAGTAGAATTTATCCTTTGAAATATAATACCTCATTTTTATATCTATTGTGACATGTAACTAAATAATTTTAATTGTGCCCTAATATGAGATATAGTCAACAAGGGTATTTTCAAAGAGATGTGAGAGAGAGCATTCTAAACTTATTATTGTGACTTTTAAAGCCAGACTACTTAGGTTCAAATGCCTGCTCTGCCACTAAGCTGGCACACTTATCATCTCGGCCTCAGTTCTTTATTTGCACAATGGGATGTTACTAGTAAGCATTTAACAGTGTCTCGCATTTAGTAAGAGCTATACAAATATTTGCTGTTATTAGAAACTAGGTTAAATAAAGCATTAATAGCTCTAATAGGTAAGAGATTTTTTTTCATTTATCTGATTTTGTAGAATTATATAATCTTGGAAAAGTGGATTTCGATCTTGAATTTAGTCTCCTTTGTATCTTTATTATGGTTTTCCAAACATCTCTTAGAATGATAACATCTGATGTTTCTAAAATAATCATGTTAATCTCCTCACACCAATGCAATCTGTACTACTGAATACAAAAATACTGAACCAGAAAACCAGAGATATCAGCTGGCAACAGCTATTGCTGTTACTGGGAACTGAGATATAGTCAGTAGGAAAAAGAATTAATTGACTAAAATTTAGCAAATAATATTATTTTGTGTTATCTGATTTTTAAAGATGAGAAACCCCAATAAAGAGAAAAAATAAAAGATAGATAATAGCACCTAGGGAGATCTTTCTCAAATGGGAAGGGGATCAAGAGATAAATGGAAGGGAGACAAAGAGGATGGAAAACAAGAATTAAAATCTGTTATAAGGCCTGGGGATTTAGCTCAGTGGTGTCACCACCTGCCTCACAAGCCCAAGGTCTTGAGTTTGATCCTTGGTACCACACACACACACACACAAGGATGTGTTATAAAATGGGATAAAATAAAGTTTATTTTAAAAGATGTGTTATGTACATGTACCAACTTTCCACAAGGAATGTGCAAACATGGACTAATAAAAAATAAATTTAAAAAGGCTAAAATAGATGCTACACTTCTGAATAGCAGGCTTGCCAATAATCCACTTGCTTTCATTTCATAGTCCACTTGCTTTATAATTCCAGTTGTAATAGTGTTTTTTTGGCTTCCATTTTGCCTTTAGTAAGAGTTCTGTCTCTATACATATCACATACAGAGTCAACTACTATGCTTTTGAGAATCTTTATAGACATCAATTCTACTGAAAACCTTTGTATTGGATACCCATCTTATTCAGTCTTAAATTCAGCCTCAGTTCTATTTGGTGCTTTATACTTTGTGGCGCGCACTGTGTCTTTTTCCCCCAGCACTCAGTAGCTGTTGATAACAGCACCAGGGAGACAGAAGAAAAACTGCACTTAAGAAAGGCTCCATTTCTCTGAGACTATTCAGATGCCATGGCCTTCACAGCATTATACTTTCTCACAGGAGGACATGAGTTACACAGTCCACTTCAGTGGCCATAAAAGTAGAAGTTTAATGATACAGCTCTTCTGAATTGCATTTCATCCTATTGGAGTTAAGGCACAGTTGGTACATATCCATCAAAATGAGTATGAGGCAGAACAGCAAGAACTATTAATTATCCCTACACTTGTACATAAAAAATAAAAGCAACATTTGTTAAGTGCCTGCCATGTAGTGAACATTTTTACAACATACGATTGTCAGAATAACCCTTCAGAACAGCTATTACTTATGCCTATTTTGTGAGACTGCTTAAATAAACTACCCCAGTTTGAGCATAAAATACCATTCCTCTCCTGCCTCTCCTAAACTCCACATTTCCGACATCTTGAACACCCCCATAGCACAGGCATCCCTGGGAATGGTTCCTTTTGCACTTGCTGGGTGGTTGTGTGTGCTCCTCAGTGTTCTTGTTTCCTGCATTTGGTTGTCTATCTCTTCACCCCTTTCCAGGTCATAGCTGACTGAACACATGAGAGTTAGCTGACTGGACTACCCATAAGTCTTTTCCTTAGAAGCTATAGTTGGGGTTGATTTATCAGGCAGAAATCTATAAAAATGTAATTTTTATTAATAAAGTAATGTATGTAATGTATATAATGGCTCTGAGTCATAGTTATAACTGGAACACCAATGAATCCAGAACTCAATGGGAGAACTCAGAATCACCCTCCTGCTAGAAGCTGCCTATATAGCACTCTCTCTCTAACCCAGCCTCACTCCAGGGTTAACCATTTACCTAAATGTTGTGTATACAGTTCTCTTCCTTTCTAAAAAAAATGTTTTCTTATGCACATGTTTGTATAAGCAGTGTATAGTTTAATCATTTGTGTTTGTACATGTTTAAGAATTTTTGTTGAATAGAGATTTCAGGGTCTTTTCCAGCAATTTTCTTTTTCATGCTCACCTTTTCTCTGTATACAGAAAAGAGCATGAAGAGAGTTGGTGGAACCAACTCCTCCGAGTAGACACTTAACCCAAGCAGGGTCATCTCCACTCAACCTTCCCATCACGTGGGCCATGGACTGACTCTCAGCAGTACAGCTGCTATCTTGCCTGGAAATCAGTCCTCACACCTTTTCCTCCTCCACTCCTACTGCCTAAAATCTGTGTTCTGAATTATGACCAAAGCTATTTTAAAGCAGTTGGATCATGATGTGTGGCCAAAAATATGGTTAGTGTTTAAATGCTTAAAAATTTACTACAGTCAAAGCACATTACCATCCTTCCCCCTCAATATACTCCTTGATTTGAACACACTTGATTTGGAAAGTGATAATAAAAGAATAGTGTACCAAATATAATTTAATTTTCACTCCTCCTTTTCCTATAAATATTCCAAAATGATTCCAGAAAAATACAGCTATGAATTTTACCCATGAAAGTATCAATACAAATACAAAGGGGTTTTTCTTTGGTCAGTTATATCTTATTGTCATCTGCTAAAATGTTTTTCTTAATGTATAAGACCACAGTTTTCACAGTGAGATTCTTCTTGATATCCAATTTTCTTTTGTTTCCCTCAATTCATCATTAGTTTCTATATTGAGTAGCTACAGGTGCTGGCATTTGGCATTATTTATTCCCCAGGAAATGCCAGGGCAGTAATAGCTGAATCCTTCAGTTTGGAACAGTCTGACACCTAGACTTAGTGTGCACTGTGTGGCATTAGAATGTTTCTTTTTTCCATAATTGTTCCTCTCCCATACAATGTGTTAAATTAAGGATGGAGGGTGATATCTTTTCCTATTTACCACACAGGAGATGTCTTTCTACCTTTATTTGTATTTGGACTGTGAATACATCTGCTATAGAACTGATCTCCTCCAGGGAAACCTATTGTGGTGTTCATGAAAGCTGTCATTTCTGAGTCAACTAAACACCCATTAAAACACCCAAGAGTGCAGAGGATTCATGAAAATATCTACCTGATATTCTATGTCTCATGTAGTTCCACTTGATAGCCTTATGAATCTAGGTTAAAAGAAAAAAGGAATTAGAAAACTAAAGCATACTTTAAGACAGGAAAGAGATTGCATTTTAGCTACAGTGTTTTGATAGAAAAAGAATGCATCTTTCATTCTTTTTCCACCCACAATTACATTTTTTGATAGACACATAAAAATGTTGTCAATTTAACTCTTGAATTTTTTGGCAAGCTTTATAAAGGCCAAATCAATGCTAAATCAGAGGTATTTACAACATCCACAAATTTAATCCAAAGTGGATACTTAAAAGCTCATATAGATCCAAATGATGTTCTCCCAGATGGTGAATTAATGTAATTTTAGCAGGAAGCAAAATTGCACAAATATGCAGTATTGAGGACTCACACTGATTTAATGTATCTGTCCCCACCGCGGCGCAGATGCTGCTGATCATGTTAGCACCAGTTGTCTTCATTCCTCTGTATTGCACAAAAGGAAGAATGGGATTTGGGAACTCAGTAAATTATGATATATTTTGTCACTAATGACTTCTGAGAAATTAAAGTTTTCTGTGCACTGTTTGTAGAAATCATTGGTTATATTCTTTTTACAGGGTGTGAAAGGTGACTTGGGGCCTCATGGTCCACCTGGCCCAAAAGGAGAAAAGGTAATATATTTACTTTAAAAATGTGCCAATCTTTTCTTAAGAAAACCCCAAAAGCTCATGCAGCGACTTCTTGTCGATACCATCTAATTGCCAATAATGTTTTAAAATTAACCAAAGGCTGTTAGGGTAAAAGCATCTAAACAAGAAGACCCTTTTTGGTTCATTTAATTAGTTTGAAGAGTCTAAATGCACTGTTGCTAGTTGACATTAATTTAGTTTTAGATTTCGCTTTTCTCACCTTGCTTAACAGTATGAGGTATTCGGTCACCAAATTAGCAAAGGTGTCCTGTGCATGGAACTCAGCTACTGAGCTACCCCTGTAATGGAGAAGCAGGTGGCTTTGTGAGGGGAGGAGACTAATTCTGTATCTCAGCCTTCATCTAAATTTTCTATTTCCTGCCACTTTTCCCACACACTGTTTCATGATGGAATATCGGCAGTAGCCTTGAAAAGACAATTAAAGAATACAGTAGTAAAAGTGAGTTGCTTTGAAAATGTTCTCTTTGACAATAACTTGATAGAATATTTTGGCTATGTTTTTTATAGTCAAAATATATTTTGAGCCCCAAGACCTCAAGGACATTTTAGACATTAAGAAGTGACTAATTTATAATATAATTTATAATATCACTTAATTTCAGAAATGAGTGAGTTGAGTATACCACCATGCATAATGTAAGATATGGTGCCAAATATACTTTGGATGAATGAAGAAAGATGCATTAGGAAAAAAAATACAATGTGTGAAGGAAAGATGCTTAAAAAACATGTTGTGCGTGGAGCTAAATTCATTTTTGTCATTTTTGTTGTGCTGAAGATATTGCCCTAATCTGCTCTTTACATAATTGACAGTGTTTTTAAGATGGAAAATAATAAAATGCATGCATCACCAAAAATATTGTGAGGAATAAGGTCATTAGGTGATTCTGATGTGATGGAATTGTGTATGGATGTGTGCATTGCACTGTATTTTGTTCTTCTTTCTCAATGCAATTAGAAATTCTTGTCTGTCTTAAATATTAATCTGTACATTAAAAGTGACCTTGCAAATCTTGTAACTGATTTAAGCTACACTAGTGTTCTTGACAACTATTTAAACTATACTCATGTACCTAAGCAATTATTAGTTATTCTTAATTCAGTTGTTCCAAAAAATAAGGAAAATACTGTGCTATATGTTTACTTTTCAAGTAGCTAAATTTGATGAGAAAAAGTCCTAAAGATACTCTCAAAAAGAAAATATAATATCCCAGAGTCCATGCCACACGCTGTGGACATGCAGACTCTATATTGTTCAACTAAACAAGAACCATGGCCAGGATGCTGGGTCTTAATTACAGAGTGCTTACGCAATAGAATTTCTAAGACAGCAGAACATAGAAGTGAGAAATTAGAAAATACTGAACCGTTAGTCATTTTTTAAAGATTTTGAATAGTTTGTCAACGTAGCACCTGGAAATTTGTATTAACAAGGGTTAGCAAAGCAATTTCAGCATTTGAAAATATATCAATATAGGCAAAGCCTCTTCCAGTTGATGGCAAAGACAATGCTAATTCAGCAGAGCTTAGGAGAGGTCATGGGAACCATTTCTTGCAGCTGGGAGGCATGAAGTGGGGAGATCCACTTATTATTTCTGCTGATCCTCATTCTAACTTTGTCAGAAAAATTATCTGTGACGGTGACACTCCCCAGCTGCTCTGTTGGCAAGTAACCATATTTGAAAATATTATTTTCTAATTTTGGATTAGTAGTCAAAAGAACAGAAAATAAGATTAATTTAGCTTTTCAAAACAAGTTCTGCTACTGCAAAAAGGACAAAGGTACACAAACAATTTTTATATCATGAGAGCTGAAAAACAATAATAAATTTCTTATTGTGCATAGACTTTTATCAAGACAAACTATTTTTCTTCCAGATTTATCTGCAGATATTGCCTCTATTCACTCAGAAACTTATAAATGATGTGCTATTGATAATTTCAACTTTTCTTTCATCTACTTTAGGGAGATACAGGACCTCCAGGACCACTGGCCTTAACTGTAAGTATTCTTGAAATCAAACTTCAAAATTTAAATCTGTTATCCTACTTACTATTCATACTACATCATGTCTGAACTAGAATTTAAATCACAGAGTTTTGCAAGAATTAGAGATGACCTTAATGTACATTTTGCAAAAACTTCATATTTTAAAGATAAGGCATCCTCCCATATAAGTGAGGTGGTTGCCCTGAGGTCATACAGGTGGTTACTCTCAAAGTCTATAATCAGTATCAACCCTGTGCAATTTTCTCTGCCCTTCATATGGTTCATAATTATATCCCTTAAATGTTTGATTATACATTCTTTTTTAATAAAAATGTATAGTAAGAGTAAATGGATGCAGACCATTCTACTTAGTATAAAAACTGCAAAATAATAAAACAAACTCTAGTCATCTGTTGGATAAAACAACTACTTAAACTGATTGTTACATTCCGCACACCTGTGTTATTTGCCTGTGTGATTTTCTTCTGAGATTTACAAATGGTGAGCTGGCAGTATTTTAGTATCAGATTTATGAGAAAGATTTATAATGTTCACACAATCAGATTGTTCTCAATTAAATGACTCGTCATTTATTAATCATTTAATCATAAATATATAATGTTTTTATGTTTAGATACATTACTATTACAGATTTTCTCCATAGGCCATTAAAGATTCTCATTTAACTTAAAGATTTGATCTAAGAAATAGAAAATATTTTTTTAATAATTTGTAGCCTATGGTCTTTCAAATTTTATGTTGATACTACCTAATGATATCAATTAAATGGGCAATCAATAGTATTCAAAGGCCTATCTTTGTTCTAGAAGGGCAGTCTTCCAGAAGCACAGTATCTCAAAGGCTGTGTGATCTTGATGACATTTATATTTATCTTTGTACTTGAAAATCCCATTATGAAAACATATAAATAATGTTTTATTCAAATAATCTTTGCAATTATCACTTTGAGGACAAATATTTCCTGATAGGTTAAAAAACAAACCTGATGGACTAAGTAGGAGACTTCCTTGGTCATAAGCAAATTTAATTTGCAATGGGATTCTGTGCTTCGCTTTTTTTCAAGATGGAAACAAAAACTATTTTACAGGAAATTTTGTGTGAATATTTTCCCACTTTTTATACTTTGTGGAATTAAAAAAAATATTTGGGCAGTGATTTAGAGTTAAGCCTGCTCATTTTATTCAAGATAAATGCAGTTTTCTTCAGCTAAATTGTATGCTCAGCCACTTCGCTTTGTTATTTGATTTGAGTCATTTTCAATTCATGTTTGAAGACCAATATGCAATCTGTGTGTATCATCTCGCCTGAAAAATGATTTTGGCTCCTCAGCCAGAAATTGCACTGGAGTATATCTACTTTCCTAGCAGCTGATTTCTTTCTGCCCATCCACACCTTTCAGCTCTTTCTGCACCATTCAGCTGGGATGCACTCAGCAGGTCCAAGCTAAGTGTTATGCTTGTCCAAAGACATGACAAGGCAAAAACACTATGAAATGAAATGTTGTTTCATAAATAAAATGTTAGTATTATTTTTGTATTACCATACTATTTTATATCCTTGCTATTACTGCCTTTGTTAATGTGGATAATCAACTGGTTACCTATAAAAATAGAGAGGTACTGAAATGAATACCATGCTACCATGCACTAAATATTTAATGGACCTTATAATGCAGGTTAATATATTATTAAGTAAAGTAATTGATAGCAGTCTTCTAGGAAGCCAGAGTGATAGGCTGCACTATATTTGAGTTAAATGAGACAGTGATATATAGGAATCAGTGGACTTAGAATTCATCTATAGTGATTCTCAAAACTAGCTGCACATTAAAATCTGCTGCACAGCTTTAAAATATAGGAATGTTGGGGCTACACTAGAAATCCCAATTCACTCAATCTGCTGTGGGAGCAGTGCATTTTAAAAGCACTGCAGGTAGATCCAGAATTGCAGCTGGAGACCAGAACCATTGTTTCTGGTAACTATAACCGAGAAAACTTTCTTCCCCCTCAGAAAATGCTTTTAGACTTTTGGAGAACTCTAGCTTTCATCTGAAATCCAACTTAATGCACAGTAATAAAGAAATGTCTCTTTCCAGGAGGGAGGCAAACTAGTAAAATTACCCCAAGATTGAAGCCTGCTTGGTTAAGGAAGGGGATTCCAGCCAGGAATGTACTTAACCCAGCCATTCGAGTATTTCTGCAGCTCAGGTGCCTTAATACATCTCAGAATTTAATGAGTATGGGAACCACTCAGGGTGTTACTAAAATGCATATTTTTATTCTGTAAATCTGGGGTGAGACCTGAAAATCTACATTTTTAGCAAGTTCCTGGAGGACACAGACATTACTTTGGATCAAACTTTGAGTCACAAAGGGCTAAATGGCCTTTCCTCAGCTCACCGCCTTGTTCTATAGATCAGTACATCTCCATCCTGACTGCACATTGAAATCATCCAAAGAGCTTTGAGAAATCTAATTTCCAGCCCATAATCAGAGCCAATAAAGTCAGAATCTCATGGGATTGACCCAAGCCACAGTCACTTTAAATTTTTCTCACGCAATTCCTATGTGCAGCCAAGTTTGAGACCTGCTCTGAAAGTAGGTCTAATATTTTCTTTTTTTGTTGTTGTTTGTTGGAGTTTTTGTTTTTGGTATCAGGGATTGAACTTGAGTCCTTACGCTTGTGAGACAGGTGGCAGAACCACTGAGCTAAATGCCCAGTCTAATACTTTCTATACAGCTTCTGTTTTCAACTCTTGAAAAAACATTTTGCAAGTTCTTATTATATCAGTATTTGTATCAGAAATACTCGACCTAATTGCTACTTTCAAGAGCTTCCTGGAGAGGCCAGGCTATTAAAACCTAATGTTTGGTTCTTTATTACTTCATTATAGAGGATGACCTTCCTCTTCCACATTTATAGCCCATTATCATCCAAAAAAGATCTTTTCTTAAGCACATAGGCATTGGCAACTCTAATACATAGGATTCCAGAAGCTTTCCAAGTATACACAGCTGGGCTGCCCTGAGTAATGAAGGTGATAATGTTGAGCACTTTTCTCGTCTCTCAGTGATACATTCCCCACTTACTTTGCTATTACTTAGTATGAAATTTTGAAGAAACAAATCATTATTGAATACAATGTAATCTTGGTTACTGAAGCAAGCGCAACTCCTTTTTGTTGCAGAATTTTGTGGAAGATTGTGTTTATTGCAGTTTGGTATCCCTGTGAATTACTATGCTTTGGCTATTTAAATTTAAGAAGTTGAAAGAAGGAGGTCATTAAAAATCTATTTTCATTAAATGTTACTTTTGTTATTTGTACTTTCTCTTATAACTGTTTATATATAATTGGGTCTCAGAGAGATGGATAAAGAAATGAGAGAGGCGAGATAAAAGGCATAAGAAGGAGAAAGTTGAGGAAATGACAGGAAACTCAGACAAGAGTCCTAGAAGCAATTTAATCAGATAACTTTAATCACAACAGCTCTTAGCCTTTGATTCACTGCTCTTTTCCCACAACCTTGGAGCATTCTTACAGCCATTGACCTCTTAGTGAGAAAACCATCCAAAATGGTACCACAGTTGGCAAGTGTAGTGTGAACTAAATTCTTTTCATTAGGTAAGAAAATTTGCTCCCATGCAAAATTCCACAATCAATTGAATCTTATTATAATTTTACAATTCATTCCCACAAGTCATACACAGAGAACCTAAGTTGACTGCTAGATGGAGGGGAAAAAAGCTAAGAAAAGAAAAGAAGGGAGGAAGCGGGGGACCAAGAGAGGGAGGGGAAAGGAGAATATGGAAGTGAAAATTTGGGACCTGTAAAAATGTCATACATATTAGAGTAATAGTTATGGTATTGTCACTTACATATTTAACCATTAAATATTTTGTCTACTTGGCTCAAAAAAATTCATTGATGCTTTTTGATATGACATTTATAAACTTGCAAATCTTCCCAGTTACCTCCTTTATTTTAGAGCTTTCCTGGTTGATTCTAATAACAAAAAATTAAGAAATAAGTTTAAGAACCATTTTGTGAATATGTTAATTGGAACACCTGGAAAATAATTTATAAAGTAGTGTCCAAGAATCTTCCCCAAATACATTTTTCTCTTATCATATGTTCTAGTGTGATACGGCAAGAAAAAGAATCAAACTTTCTTGCTCAGAAGAATTATATACATATGCTTGCCACCATAAACCCTCTTGCATGTTATCCTTGCTAGTCATATTTTCAGCAAACACAGCTGGTTGAAAATAAAAAATTTAATCAAACCACTTTGATTTCAACCTCTTTTTGGAGGATGCCAAATTCACTAATTAGTTTGGTACTAAATTGATTATTGTATAAACATAATAAACTTATAGAAGCTTATAATATCATTTTAAAGTTCTAAAGAATGTAAAATTTATCTACCTGATTTAAGTTAATCATTCTTTCCCTACCCTTTTTACATATAAAACTGATAATTATTTTCAAATAGCACAAATTGTTCAATTCTAACCTAAACTACTAATAAGAATAATGATAAATTCTAAACATTTGTGTGTATGTGCGCTGGGGATCAAGCCCAGCACTAAGCCTAGTACTCTACTAAGCTGGTACACTGCTACAGTTACATCCCCAGGTCAGTGGTAAACATCTTTTGAGTGCTTACTACGTGTTATCTAAACCATTCCTTAAGCAACCCTGTGAGGAATAAGATGATTATTACAACATTACATATGAGGGAATTTAGGACTAGAAAATCTATAACCTACTCAAGGTTACAGAGATGGTAAGTGACATACCTAATATTCAAAGACCCGGTTCACTGGTGCTCAAAATAGTATGTTTACTGCAAAGAATCAAATTCAAATTCAATGCTACTTGGAGATTATTTAACTTAGAATATATAACAAGCACTGTGTGTTGCTAACATTTGCTTATTTTAGATAATAAATTATTTGATGCCTTTATTTTTGTCTTTTTACCCTAAAAA